GTCGCGCCGAACGCGCTCGATGTTCGCTGGGTTGTAGACGTTCCATGACTTCTTGCCGAGGAGGTGACTGCAAAAGAACACTGTAAGTACTCAAGCATGCTAAGACAGAGGGGAGCGGGTATACTGACAGAGGCATCTTTAAGGTATGGGGATGTAATGAACTGGTGGGGATGGAGGCGTCAGTTCTCCTTCCGGGGTGCGTGAACGAGAAGCAGCGTCATCCAGACCGGTCGGCGAAGACGGAGGCGGGCGGACCGACCGATGGGGCGGGAACCCTGGGTACCTTACCTACGGTCCATGTGTCGCGGGCGCTGGAGCTCCCCCCCCCCATCCAATGTGAGACCGCCACCTCTCATTATTCTTCTTTCTTTCCATCCTCTACCTCACTTCTATTCCATATATTCAGTTGCCTATACTCAACATCACATTTTGCTTGTGTACTCATATACTTTCTAGTCATAATCAGATCATTTGAGTACTTGGCCTCAAGGCAACAGCTGCTGGCAGCATCGCTTCGCCACGTTCAACCAGCCTATACATACTCTGTCCTCGTCTGGGAACTCATTGCAGTTCCCTTTTAATTTGCAACTCGAAGTCCTCCTCTATCTGGTCTGAAGATGTTCAATCGCAACAACTATCCTTCCGTCCCTAATCCTTTCGGCTCCCGCCCCTCTCGAGGCGACGGTTATACCAACCCAGCTCAAGGACAAGCCCCCTACCCCTCCAGGTCGGGCGCAAGGTATGGACCTTACACGGCACCATAATGAAGCAACAGTGGTTGATACGCTTGGTATTTAGTCCTGCAGGATACGGAGCGCCACCCCAATATACCGGAAGACCGCCGCAAATGCCTCCAAGAAACCCCGTTGGAGAGAAGCCCGTGAGCTCAGGCCGATCATGGACGCTGCGTCCTGCGAAGAGCCCGGATAATACGTATACATTTGGGAACTTGTACGTTCAAATGTGGTCGCTGCCTCGCTTGTCCTTCTTCTAACTGTGTCTAGGGTTGCTGTTTCCGCCCAGGAATTCCCACCCTCCCGCGATGGACATGATCTCCTCCTACTCATTAACGGTCTCTACGTCTTCTCCGCGCGCCCTCTTGATGGGTTCCCCCCGGGACAAATCAGCATGTCTGATCCTCAGCGGACATGGGCTGGCGTCGCTTTCACGGATACCGTTTCGGTGCAAATCTACGACCCTTTCAGTCAGGGCGGACAGGCCTACGTCGGTTCTACAGATATTGAGGTTGGGTTTGCTGGGAAGAAGCGGGTCGAGACTCCATATGATCAAGATGAGCTGGCAAGTGTGGTGATCAGGGTACTTTTCCCCATCTCCGGTGGAAGAAAGAGCGGCAACTGATCTGTACAGAACTTCGAGAACCAAATCTTCGCCCCCGGCCAGAAAATCTTGATGGATCATCGCAGCATCCCACTTCTGTTGACCGTCAAAACTGTTCAGAGAGTCGATCTATCCTCGGAGAATGCCAGCGGTGGCAGCGTCGAGACGGATCCTACGGCGCGGGGTATACTCACCAGGCACTCCCAGATTACGTTCTTCAAGGATGCTAGTACTGGTATCAACTTGAAGCCCTCGAACCGCCGACCGGCAGCGAACTCCATCATCCAACCTGACTTCAAGTTCGAGAACATGGGCATTGGTGGTCTTGATTCCGAGTTCAGTACTATCTTCCGTCGTGCGTTCGCGTCCCGTATCTTCCCTCCGGGGTTGGTGGAGAAATTGGGACTTCAGCACGTCAAGGGTATCCTGCTTTATGGTCCTCCAGGAACGGGTAAAACCTTGATTGCTCGTCAGATCGGAAAGATGCTCAATGCACGGGAGCCGAAGGTCATCAACGGACCCGAAGTGCTTAACAAGTACGTTGGTCAGTCCGAAGAAAACATTCGGAAAATGTTCGCAGACGCCGAGAAGGAATACAAAGAAAAGGGAGATGAAAGTGGTCTTCACATCATCATCTTTGATGAACTGGACGCTGTCTGCAAGCAACGTGGCAGTGGAGCTGGAGGTGGTACGGGTGTTGGTGACAGTGTGGTGAACCAGCTGCTCTCGAAGCTGGATGGTGTGGATCAGCTCAACAATATCCTACTCATTGGAATGACCAACAGGAAAGACATGATTGATGAGGCACTGTTGCGTCCTGGTCGTCTTGAAGTTCATATGGAGATCTCTCTTCCTGATGAGAAAGGCCGAGCCCAGATTCTTAAGATTCACACCCAAAAGATGCGGGATAACGACGTCATGGATGATGATGTTGACTTGGCCGAGCTGGCCCTGATGACCAAGAACTTTTCTGGTGCTGAAATATCTGGTCTTGTGAAGTCCGCATCTTCTTTTGCATTCTCCCGGCATATCAAGGCGGGCACGACAGCCAGCATTAGCGACGATGTCGTGAACATGAAGGTCAACCGGTCCGATTTCCACCATGCGCTCGAAGAGGTCACACCTGCGTTTGGTGTCTCTGAAGAAGAGCTTTCTAGTCGGATTCAACATGGCATCACACACTTCTCGCCCGTGATCAATGAAATCCTCAAGGAGGGCGGCCTGTTCGTCAAGCAAGTTGCCGAGGATGAATCCTCACCTTTGTTCTCGGTTTTGCTACATGGGCCCACCGCAAGTGGCAAAACGGCTCTCGCGGCTCGAATCGCTATAGACTCTGGATTCCCCTTCATTAAGTTGATCAGCCCCGAAGACATGGGAGGCTTCAGCGAAACAGCCAAGGTTCAGCGCATTATCAAAGTCTTCGATGATGCTTATAAGAGTCGCACAAGTGTTGTCGTTATCGATAATCTCGAGAAGCTCATCGAGTGGGTTCCTGTCGGCCCTCGCTTCAGCAACACAATCTTGCAGACTTTGCAGGCCGTGTTGAGGAAACATCCTAACAAGGGTCGCCGACTCTTGATCATAGCAACCACTACGCAGAGATTTGTGATGAAGCAGCTTGACTTGTTCAGCTCCTTCGATGCCGACATCATGGTTCCCAACGTGATGACATACGATGAGCTAAAGCACATCTTGGAGCATTCTGGCGCATTCAACGAGCAGGAAATTGGTCAGGCACTGGCTGGCATTGGCAGTATATCCGATGACGGAACCATTGGAGTTGGTGTGAAGAAGATCTTCAGTGGGATTCAAACGGCTAAGAAAGATGTGGATAAGGTTGGTCGCTTTGTGCAGGTTATCAACAACGCTATCGAGGCAGAGCGTTCTGGTGTTTAAGGAGCGTTTGCTGTTTCTCAAGGTCTGGGACCATCTTAAGATTGTCGCTACGTTGGCTATTCGCTTGTAAGCTTATTTAGATGCTAAACTCAATAATAATATGGCTTGTTACTAGACATGGTGCACTACCAGATGTTGTTGTTCCTTGCAGCCAAGGCTTGCTGTGGTCTGAGCGTGGAGACTGTGCACCAGCTGATGGAGTCGTGATGACAGTGCGACGAATCAATGGCGACAGGCGATTGTCGGATCATGTTTAAAATTACAAGGGCTTCAAGGCTTTCGATTGGATTGCCGCCAAAAGCTCAACTGAAGATATGGACCCATTCTCTTAGTACTGTTGTAAAGCGGCCCAATGCCTCTGCAGCTTAAGTTGAGTCGTTTGCTGCCCGCAATGGTGTGATGGTAGAATATCACGGAGGCCCTTCACCTTTTATAACCGGGTTCTGACCTAAAGATTTCATATTTATTTCTGCTTATAGACGACATTGTTTATCTGGTACTGCTGTTCACTTTGTAGCTACTATTGATCGTGTGCGTGCAAAAGTCATTTTATAAAATCTCTCTTGAACCTACAAATTAATAAACATTTGAAGGTATAAAACTATATGGTTATTATGATTGATGTAAAGTACATATTTTAATGGTTGACTGTAGACATCTTACGGTTGAAGTTCGGCATAACTACGATCAGATATATAAAATCTAGTATGAACTTAGTACTAGGATCAGGTAATCACAATAGATTATCTTTTGCACCATACTACTTCACGTTGAAAGATCCAGAATAATATTCAAAATATACACATAAATACTTTAGAAGAGAGTAAACCTTCATGAATAATTGAACGACATTATCTTCCAGAGAGCTAGCTCCCTACCAAACGTTTTAAAGGCCACGGCATTAGTCCCTCCGGCTGTTGTAGAGGTCTGTTCGAAGGAAGTCTGGGTGGTAATACTAGTTAGTCCTCCAGTACTACTAGTAGTAGCTGAATGTCAGAGCAAAGCTAGGATATGTCGGTGGTACAGCATACCCAAACGTCACACGAACAAGAACAGATCAACATCATCCTCCGAAGCCACCCTACCCGTATGTTAGTATATTAGATTGCTTTGCAATACAGTCCTTTCCTTTGCTTATTTCATTGTCTGGGTGGAGACTCGTATCTCATGTGTTAATCCTGACCTTAATTGCATCTTGGTAGCTCAGCGGTCTCGATAAAAGTCATTGGCTATTGGGTGGTTATGGAAGATTCCTCCTATGGAAGATACCGACCTAATTGCGCTACTTCCGTTTTTGAGATTTAAAACTGCAATCTATTCATGCGGAGTACTAAACATGATATTTGCTTAAGCTTCATCATAACATAACTCGTTCGGGACTAAGCATGATTGAGGTGCCTTGATGCTAGGCAAAGCACACTACATATGTCGCTGCCGTGCGCAAAAGTGACTGTATGATGTATGGGAGTGAATAACTTTCAATAACGTGAATTGTATTCTGTCGAGATCGTGTGGCAGGGAACTAATTCCCTCATCCACTTCACTTCGCACCCACACCTGCCCTCTTCCCTCTTCCCTCTTTCCTCTTTCCTCTTTCCTCTTTCTTCTTCCCTCTGCCCTCCCATTTCCAACTTCGGTGTTTCTTTTGCTTGCTACACACCTTCGAAAGTCCTTTCCTTACTATATTTGCAGCTCTTGCTTCGAAACTTCTAGATTACAACACTCTACACCACCGCAAACTCCACTCTACATATCTACCAACAAGGATGGCAGCGTGCACTTTCACACCCAAACAGATCCTGAAGAAGGAGGTGTCACAGAGAGAATACGAGTTCCTCCAAGAATGGGCCCCGGACACTATCAAGGACTACACTCCGATCAAACCTGGCAATCCGGTAGACAGGGTGCCCAAGCATCAGACGATGCCCAGCCAGCCACACGTCCAGAGCCCCCGACGGGCTAAACCTCGCTCGCCTCTCTACGAGGAATGGAAGGCTCAGCCGCTACACAGAGAGACGTTAAATGAGGCTGCAAAAGCCGCAGGCGCTTCTGTGAGCATGGAGAATAAAACTAACGGGATGATTCCTCCTGCTCCTACTACAAACGTCAGGGTTAATGGCAGGCATCCTAGTAACTCGTTGGACACAAAGATCCGCCAGCAGGAGCCGGTAAAGAGTAGTCCTGTTTTACATAGTAAGTATCGAGTCTCTTTGTGATGTCTCAATATAATAACGATCTCTAACGTTTCGCGCTTCGAATAGATCATTATGCGAAACCCACCGCTAGCACGAATAACCGTGTTATCGCGAACCCTGTCCCTAGTGTGGCATCCAAGTCGGGAGTGCCCAGGCCTGGGCCATATAAACCTGTGGAGCAGAACAATAAGAGGGTCATGGTGAGCCAACGCAGGCCACCTCCACCGCCTTATGTATACACCGCACCGAATCGTAAACAGTTTCGAAACGATGACTTGATCAGATGGTCGGACGGGATCAAGACTCTGAGCGGTGCTATGGCCTACTTTCAACCTAGTTTCATTCAAGACCCGTGGAAGGACATGAAACCTGTTGTGACGAAATTCCTTGAGCGATACTGGTAAGACTCCCTTCCAGATTTAGTTCGAAATGATCGTTGTCGTGACGCATTTCTGACATGCGTGTAGATGAGTTCAGATCAAGCAGCAGGAGATCCTTGAGATGGTGGGAGTAGTAGGACCTAGCTTGAGAAGGAAATGGTATCTCCATTGCTGTGCCATGGCTATATGACGTCGTGCGGTTGTAAAGTGATGTGTTGGGGAAATGCATGCTGATAACTTTCGCCGAGTAGCCCCTAAGGCAAATAACACGAACAAGGACAATCAAGTCATTTTAAGTTGATGGGAGCTCTATAGACGCTAGAAGGTATGCCAAACAACCACCTCACTATGCATCGTATCAGCGACACTCATAGTTGAGTGTAGATGTATTGAGAGCCAGTTGGGCAGCCCAGATCCAAATATAGTACACTCCTCAACCCCGAGCCCCTGATCAAGTTAGCCCAGAAAAATGAAACATGCTGTACCGACCATCCGGGCAAAGTCAGACACTCTCATCTTGAGAATAGAAAATCGAAAAACAACTATGAAGATCACATAAATGTCACACTAACCGGAAATCGAGTTAAAAAAAAATATCGTAAGCTTCTAACTAGATATTCATGCATGACTAACCGGGCAATAAATCATTCCTTTCTTTTCCACCAAGCTCTCGATAGTTGGCACGACCTATAACGGCAGGCACGGCCTTGGTCATTGATAGATCGACTCCCCCTTTGTCGCAAATTGATGGTGATCTACTTAGGGGTAGACAAGTACTTCCGTCTCCCTCTCCGTCTCCTTCACACATTTGCGAATTGATTGAACTACATTCGTGCTCACGCACTATTATGGAGCTAATCGATCTATTTCCGTGTTGTTCACTGGTGACTAGTATGTGATTGGTTAGTATAGCCTTTATTTCACGTACTATTGGGCTTCCCCCCCCCCTCTCCCCCCAGCCAAGGGATAATGTACAACTCTACGTCGCGGTAGTAGAATCCCCCTCCTATAACATTTTACTACAAGTATTCCACTAACTGCCAAATTGAAGGCTAATAATAGGGTGACGCATATCAGAACATTGCATCGTGAAGCTAACACAGTATTCTCCACTGTCTAGAAGCTGCCAACCGGCTATCGACCCCATATTGCACCTTCCAACACAAATATGCCTTCTGAGTTTAATCACTAAGTATTCACAGTTCTATTTCGTGCACTGCAGGATCAATAATAGCTTCTGGCTACCATGACAATCATCCTATGGCCATTGGCTGCGTGAAACAGTTGCAAGTCGACGTCTAGAAGCTCCAACCTCACCCTCTATCATGACATGCATGACCAGCCCTAAAGCGGCAACCAGCGCGTCTTAACCATAGGGCGGGGCGGAGCAGGCGGTACAACCATGTCCGCCGGCGGAGTGGAGTCAGCAGAGGTTCCAGTTCCGCTCATCCAAGGTGGGGGTTCCCAAGGACGTCGGCAGCCGGGAATGACGACAATGGTCCCCCCACCCTCGAGTCATGACATACGTACAGCGGGGTCTGGCAGTCTAAGCTCTAGTGCTCCCAAAAGCTATACGGGGTGTATAATGCATCGCCGAGAATGTCGCTCGTGAGACCCGGGGACAACCCCTGGAATGCACTGCAGGATACCTCAGAGGACCGTGCCACACTCCCCCCACAAGCCCATCCCGCTCTAAGGGTGATTTAATGTGATTCGGGTTGGCACATGACCCAGCCCCTGCTCGTCACAAGCCTGATTGTGACTCCCTTTTCACCTGGTTGCTTTGGGCTGATGCACAGTGGGCCGCATTTCTGGCACGTGGATATTACCTTTTGGTTATGATCTCGCCCACCACCGCAAGTGCGACTGCTGTTGATGTCCTAGAGAACCAGTGTTCGAAGTTCGAATGTATATTTCGCCAGATTCAGCGCACTATGGTATAGCGACGCGTCCACCCAAAGACACGGCGCCCGAGGAAAAAAAGCAAAAACATGTACCAGCCCAAAATCCCTTCAGTCGCGAAATAACGCAAAAAGATCAAGTAGCCCTTCAAAAACCCACGCCAGATCCGAACCCAGAAACCTAATTTTACCCTATACAGAACCGTTATCGTGGTTGCCAAATAGAGGTGTGTGCCTCCAAAAATCTGGACCGATGTGAAACCGGACCGAGCCAATATAAGCCCTTAGCTTGGGATCAATTGTCGTCGAAAGTGTACTTCTTGGACGCCCGTCTATACTCGTCGGGAAATTTATTTTCGGCCTTTGCTTTGAGAGCACTATTTACGTGATCTGTCAGTATTTGGGGTATTTGGGATAATGGAGGCTTCGGCTGGGATGCAGCACCTGCTGCAGCAACTGCGCTGCCAAGAAATATTCTGACAGCGGAGCGCAGCGGGCGCCTGTGCTCTCCGCCGGCGGAGCGGAGTCCCTCAGCTGCTGTATATGCGATACAGGGGGGCTCTTGGGGAAACTTGGAAACTCACTTCACACGCTTCTGTGTCCATTCCAAGTCACGCTTGGTCTCGCGAGCAACTTTGATACCGTCGTTGAAGGTGCCTCGGACTCCTTTTAGACGACGTTGTGCCAGGGCTTGCAATTCCAAAAGCTCTCGCTGTTTGGCATTCAACTGACCGGAACTAGTCTTACACGTCAGTTTGTTTCCATCTCATTTTTGTTGCATGCCAGAATCCCAAAGTGGCCCAATCCAACGGCAGCTGGAACCCCCTTGGAACCGCAAAGAGAAATGCTCACGTTTGTGCCTGTGTTGCCAGTCCCCTGTCCAAAGGTGTGGGATCGAAGACATCCTGCATGCGGTCGTTGAGAACGTCGACGACATCCACACCAGAATACGACGCAGAGCTCGTTTCATAATCGCCACCGATGCTGCCAGAGCTGTAGCTGAAACCTGCAGAGGTGCGGCTTCCTGCAGTAGTGCTAGTGTCAGAGATATCTGGAGGAGATCCAGAAACTCTGGTAATGGGATAGAGGCTGGCAGGAGCAGGAGCCTTAGAGGGAACATTGATGGGAAGAGAAGGAGACTGATAGTGATGGGTCGCCATGATGATTCGTTTTGTTGCTTGGTCCACAAGAGCGTCGAAACGAAGACAATGGGGGACTATAAGATGAAGACTCTTCAGTCACAAGGAAGTATCGGGGTCTAGCTCCGAAGGGATGGAGGTGTATGGGAAGACACAGGGTAAGGATCACGAGCAAGAATGAATGCACGTCAAACTGATAACCGCACTTGATGAGGTAGAAGAGAAAGAAGAAGAGGAAGAGGACGACGAAGGATGAGAAGAGGGTTTATATAGCCTTCACCGGAGGGTCTTCCCTCCGGCGGGAAGGTCCATGACGAGGACTGTGACCTCAATTGAGAGGGGGGATGGGATGGGCGATTAATCCATTGGGCATTGGGCCATCCCCGGAGGTTTCTTTCCCACCCCCCCTTTGACACTCACTTTCCCAATTCCTCCATTTCTCTCCAATCCCAACCCCCCAATTCCGCCCGTCCCTCACTTTCTGGCCGCCAATTCGCTCCTTTCTCCGAATTGACCCCGCTCTGGCTTGGAAAGCGAAATTTTAGGGGAGATCTATGAATGGCCGGAGCCTGGTCCAGGCCGTCCCATACCTCCTCCACTCAGTCCCCAACCCGCGCTCCCGTGGCAATTTTTGTCGGGCATCCAGTCTGTCCCAGGTCAGACTCCCCATCCTCGGGCTGCAATGGACAATGGGGCCACCGGAGATATAAAAGGGGGATGTAATGACGAGACGCCAGCCCAAGTGCTTCCGATTCTGGTCCTCAGCGGACGTGCGAAGTTACGTATATTTTTTCTTATATTGGGGACTTCTGTTGAACTATTGATCTGTCATAACTCTCTTACCCTTTCTTCTAGCGCTCAGCTCCCGTGAGAGGTTTCTGTTGCCTATCTTCTTTCGCTGTACCGTTTCATTCTTTCCTCCACCTTCCGAATCCCGTGGGCTACCCATGTGCATCAATATCAGGAGGCTGGGTGGCTGGGAAAGCTTGTGTGCTGCGGCCTGTGGTAGAAGAGCCATTCAACAGAAGGACGACCAACGGCGATAAGAGTTGCGTGACTACGGAATTGCCGAATCATGAGACGACCAATCGCGGTCTTCTCATCAGCTATGCCACCGCTATTTGACCTAACATTGATCAGTTCCCGGTGTTCGTCGTTTCTTTTCCGAGAAATCCTTCCGTTACTCGACGCAATTCATCTCGATGGATGTGGATACCAGCGGGCTGAAAGCGCTTGCAATCAAATCTCTTCAGCTGGGTTAGTATTATGTTTCCTGTCGAGAGAAGCTGGTAACGGGATTTGCATAGCAGAAAATGCATGCAAGGGTACTTCAACACGGGATGTATGAGATATGGAAACTGACAAAATCACAGGATCTACGATGCTTAAGAAAGGGCAGAATCGAGGATCATGGGTTGGCGTTGGACACCTCTGCATATGCCGGAATTAAATTGTGAGGGGGAGAAGGAACGCAGAAAAAAATAGAGAGGAAAAAGAAATGAACGAAAGAGGGCCAGAAGGTGGGCAAAAAACCGACGGTGGCCTTGCCGCATGCTAGCTATCTCGGCCCAGCAACCTAGAACCTCTCAAGTGGCACGGCAGGGCAGAAATACACCCCTGAAATGGAGAAGAAATCGTGTAACCGACAGGGTTCCTTCCTGGTGCCAGATTGATGACGTGCGAAAGAACGCAAGGCCATCCGAGATTCCGGTACCTGCAAGTGCTTCCCCCTTTCGCTTATCAGCGGCTATGTGTGATGTTTCTTCAATCATAGAAATATCTTCAGTCAATGAGCGAGATTACACACCTGGGGCCTCAACGGGACAAGCGCTCTAAACGCCGCCTACGTGGGCAGCTCGACGGCAGATGGGGCCGAGTGGATCTGGACGATAGCACCTCGACGGGGTTGCAGGGAACAAAGAATTCGTTGCGAATCCGAATCTCTCATTCCCAGAACCCTTAACTATGATGGCTTACCCCATGA